GGAAGAGGACTCAGCAACCGAACGCTTGCACTCTGTGGCTTGATGCTCCCCTCCCCACAATGAAGTGTGAGGGCGCAGTACAGCCCATAACGCCCTTTACGTTAGCCTGTTTTCTCTGCAGGAGTCCTCTGCGTCCGTCTCTCTGAGATTTCTGTTGATCTCACACGGGAGACATGCTCTTTCAGCCCCTGCATTGCGTTCGCCAAGGTAGGACCCGCTGCTCGTTGCTGTTCCGAGCGTCCAGTTCACTGCTAAACACCATTAAGTTCAATCTAATGAAAATGCAACGACAAGGAGGATATTCCTACTTCTTTCCAACCTACGGCTGCTCCGGTCGAATGAAATTTGCTAATCAGAACACGTTCCTTCGATTGGCAGCTCGTGTTGCGATGTTTGGAAGACAAAAGTGGTGCCACGACAAACGTAGTAAAAATTAAAATAAATGCTAGTTCGAGTTTGGGCCAAGAAGTCAGCTTGGAGTGATGCCTTGGCTGAGAAAGATAGCGATGGAACGCATCCGTCCACTTTCTTCTGCGGTTACCTCCCCTGCACAAACTTGCCAGCACAATTTGAGCCTTTTCAGCACTTCGCGCTATTAGCCCTGTATATGTGCAGCTTTATCATAGCAAAATGGAGACACAACAGTCAGTCATGCACAGCGTGACAGGATCTAGGGTATCGTATCGACTCGTAGAAATCGTGGGCTGGGTCAGTATCGGTGGGCAGCAAATAGCAGTCATTTACAAAGGCATTGCTCTGCGAGATTCGCCGAAATAGTGCAATTTTTTCATAGCGCCGAAATAGTGCAATTTTTTCATAGGCAAAATAGAGAAGTCAACCGTGTGAAGATCACGATCTCCAGATGTTCATTGTAGACTGAAGCGGCAGCAATGCCGGCAGTCCGAAGTCCTCAACAGTCTGCGCCTCGCAGCGTCGAGACGCTCAGTGCAAAGCGATCCGAAAAGCCCCTTTTTTAAGTAAAGTTGTTTCTTATAGGTTAATGTTTTGATATTGTTGCTCTGCAGATGAAGAAGTGCGACGTAACTGCAACGCCCTTCCCCCTTGAGAACTACACTGGGGCAGAACCATGCCTTGATCCATGAGCAAGTTGACGAACGACTGCATGACGTTTGCCCAGACTGTGCTCTGGTTTTTTTTGTTGAGTGAAGGCTAATCTCAGCGCACAGGAGAGGCTTCCGGTATATGAAACAGGAGGTCCTCCGTGCAAGTACCCCATGACGGTCCTCCCTGCAGAGCACGAAACCCATGCGCCCAGAATTCAGCAGGCAGATTTACTTGGTCCTGTGATACAGCAAGTAGATTTGAGTGATGGACATGTGAGTAACTCTTCCTCTACTGAAGTACCCAGTGACGGTGCTGTGCCCTCAGCGCGCAGCGAATCTCACCGGAAGCACAATAGAGCGCCACGCGCCCTAACTTGGCTGCTTCCTGCCTATGTACTAGGCCTTTTTATTGTTGTATCTCTGTGTAGCCGCATTGGTCAGAATGTGACGGGAAGTGGTTTGACGGGGCGAAGACTTGCGAGTATGGGTGGCCCCGCAGGGGTTGAACTTGATGCGGACCAGCTGGCGGAGCTTTGCGTTGAAATGGGGGAATGGAGGCCTGAGGAACCCTATTATGGAACGGGCCGAGCATCGCCTGCAATTGTGGATATGTTTTTCGAGTCGCTAAATGTGCTGCCTCAAGACAGTCCTTCCATATCTGGAATGAACCCCTCTGCGGGCCTCTCGCGAGGCCCCCCGGAATTGGCGGGCGGCCAGAGTGTTTACGGACAAGGGCTAGTGTTCCCATTGCAGAATATGAATGAATGGGGAGCTCCAGTTGGGCAGCAGTATCCACTCAGTACTCCCGGTGTGGGCACAAGTTCAATGGTTCCGCAAGTAGCAGTTCATGACCTTCAGAGTCAATGTGTTCAAGTACCGGTGCAGTATTCCGCATATTCGATAGCTCCTGCACTAAGCTCACAGGCATACCTGCAGCCAGAAGGCCAACAGCAGACAGTCATATATTATTCAGGAGGATACGGTCAAAGCCAGCAAGCAGCAGTGCAGGCAGTAGGGCCGCAGGAATTACACCAACAGGGGTTGTTATGTTTCTCCAATGTTGCGCCCTCCAAGCCACCTCCAGTTCCTACACAGTCTAGGCCAGTAGCCCGTGGGAACATCCAATCTCTTATAGATTCGTTATCCAACAACCCCTCCGCATGGATTCCAGGAAATAATCAAGAACAAGGTGTGGAAGAGCAAGAAGCGAGTCCTACACGGAGCATTTCCCCGAGTTTCGACGAAGACCTAAGTTCCCTTTCATCTGCGGACAGTGAAGCAGGCTGCAGCAGAGCTGCACGCGGAAGGGATTCACTTGCTGGCTCTGGGGAAAGGGGGCTCACTAGCCGAAGAGACTCTGAGAATGCTGATGGTGATCTGCGGGAGATGCCTCAAAGGGGTTCTTCGCTTTTCTTCGAGCACCTTTTAGCTGTGAGGAACATTCTTCTTAAAGAACAGATCTCGAATCGAGATGCTAAGGAGCTTGTCACGTGTGCAGCGGCCTTGATAAATCATGCACGTGTCAGGCTGACGCGGACACTTGACTATCAGAAGCCGTCTAGAGCCCTAGAGAGTTTAGGCCGCCGCTTTTTAGTGTTTGATGCGTTATACGCAATATCCAGAGGCCTGGGCTCAAACAGGCACTGGCAAAAGTGGTGCTCGCAGCTTGCAGCCGTGGTGCCAACAGATTATGAATACAACGCGTCAGCAGTTTTGTCTTTCAAGGCCATCAAGTACCTCGAATTAGCCAGACAAATAGCTACTGCACTCAAGAAGTACAAGGTGGGGGAGGCGCCTTCAGCCGAGGAAGTAGCCACGATCAAGAATGCGCTTCTCGGAGCAGACGAATCTCCTGTTTACTTCCGTGCTGCAAAGTGGAAAGTCTTGTGTTCATATTCCAAGTCATAGAAGCTGCTTGTGGCTTAAGGTGAGACCACTTTGTTGTGAGAAGAGATAACACGTGCCAGCTTTTCGTGCTGGTACTGCAGTGCAGTTGAATAAACTATAGAAACGCAGGATTTTGATGAGTTCTGACGGGTAGTTAGACCGACAGGACTCGCAAGTACTGGCTGCGCTTGTGGTGCATATAATGAGTTTGAAATTTCGGGTTTCCGTTATATTCATTAGCTCTGAGCGTTCACTACGACGGATGCGTGGGTCGCCATTATTAGCTCTCTGCGTTTTAGATTTTTACTGCTGTATTTGTGGAGAAGAGACGACCCGGGGAGATTTTCCCTACTTAAGCTCTAATTATTAAAGCAGTC